ATTTTTGCGTTTTTTTGCTTCTTTTCGCTCAGCCTCATTTGCGCCTCTCGAAATCGTGGTCAACCAGAGGATTCGTCCGGCTCTCGCCCCAGCAATTGGCTCCTCTTGCGTCGGTTTAATTGCGCCAGCCTCTCGCTTCTTCTTGTCATCCACTTTTCGTCCAAAATCACTCCTGCAATTGTTGTACGTCAGGTGGAGGCCTTTTGCGCCTCCGTTTGAGCCCAAACATTTCCTTTTTAACCACATTTTTTATTTCCTTTACAACATTTCCTCCTGGAGTTTGCTTTTTATTAACTTTTTTAACTCGTACAATCTTATCTCTTAATCTCCAACACACACGCACACGCACATTCATGCATACACGCAGAAACTCTACGGTTTATGCACATTTCTCGCACTCGGCCGACTTCCCGGTCATTTGACTTTGTACTAATATTCCATCCATTTTGCATTTTGTTTCAACATTGTAATCTGCCTCTTTACATCTTCATTTTGCCCTTTACGAACCCCCATCTTTGGGGTGGCCAACCATAAGTCCCTCCGTCTTGTTCAGCTTCGCTTGTCCATCCATTCTTGCAACACTTTGCCCAGTTTTGGGCCCCTCGTCCATGTCAGGTCTTTCCAATATCCCAGACATCTGCAAGTCTTATGGTGTCTCCGTCGGCGTCTCAAAGAGGATGGGTTTGTTTGACGCCTTTTCCTTGCACCAGATCAGACCGCATTGCTTCACAAGGACTGTGTGCCATCTTTTTCACGGATCCGGCACAACTACGTATGCACCAGCTGAGTTGAGATGAAAATAGGTACTTATGAGTAGTCTGTCGATTGGCTAGCTTCTGAGTTCAGTACGTCAACTTTGCCTACAATTCTCGATTTTTTTGGACTTAACAACTTCAGCTCTGCACAGATATCGTTCGTCTGCTGGCCTTATATTTACTCCCAACTTTTTATGTCGACTTTTATCATTCTTATCGCCTTTTCCTTCTCCACTCTCCGACTTCCGAGCAAGCAAGAGATCTCCTCCAGCCGACTTTTACCTACTCCTTCATTGCCTCTTTCGGCTGGGGAGTCTCTGAGCCGATTATCCAAGCTGAGCGCTGCGAAGAGATGCGTCGCACCGGAAATGAGTCTGGAGCGAATCGGCCCCCATTTTACACGGATATTTTACTGCATATTTACTTCATACTTGCCTTATACTTATTCCGAGACTTCATTCATGAGAACATTTTTCTTCCAGTTCAAACTTCTTGACGGCCATTAGACTCATTCTCGGTGGAACACTTGCCCTTGTTGGCCTGTCAATCTTTACTTTCTTTGTCTGCTTGCCTTGACGCACGACTGGCTCGAGTTTCCAGTCGACTGGAAATCTCCTCATCATGGGAAGATACAGCTCGAACGAAGTAGACCTGCGCGACTACGCCTTACAATCGGTCAGTTGACCCGCTTCCGAATTGCCTCCACAGTTAGCGATGGAAACATGTTGTTCGTGCGCACTCCACTTTATAACCGGCTGTAGCTGCGATGGTAAAAATAATAAAATGCCAGAGGCAACTTAATTAGTAAAGTGAGATTGAATGAAAAATGAAAAAAAATGAATGACAGCCCAATTCAAGGCCGATTGCCAACAAGTTTTAGTGGAGACCAAGGGGGCTTTTGTTGAGGCATTTTTTAAAATATGCCAAAACTAGCAGCCCTTGAAGGAGGTCCGTCGATCACAAAATGTCTACAGGCTGTAGGTTCAAGCCTTTCAAGCCTATCTCCACAGCATCCCGGAGTTTTTTGCATACGAGCAAGGGGAAAAAGTATAGCAAAAACTGACTGTCTTCAGTTCTCGGTGCGGCATACGATAAGAGATCTTCGTTCACTTATCCGCTAA